CGATAAATTTAAATACGAGGCCTGGATGTTTAAATACCAAAAAATGGCCAAATCCTATTTGGTGCTGATCGAACTATCCTATATAGTATAGGCTCCCTTTCTTACGCCTATCGACATTAACAAGAGCCCAACTATAAGCGAATAGAGAAATAAATAGAAAAGATAAACCTGAGCGACTGATAAAGTTTCATTAGCTTTAGCCAAAAATTCAATACCCTTTCGAAAGAACAACCAGCATGTGCCTCAAACGGTTTGGTGGCATACATTAAAGGGCCATTGATGACATCATAACGGAAAATTGACCGAAAATAAACGTTCGTTCTGAAAGTATAAAAACACGGGAAATTAATAAGACTGGCCGTATATAACTAGATAGCTATATATTAAATGAAGATCATCACAAACGCTTAGAATAAACCAAAAAGACTGTGTGAAGAGAAAGCAGAATTGACAAGAAATAATCAGAAATTAGGTCGATGTTAGCCAAATACTTACCTTTCCATTGATTAAAAAGCTCAAAATATAAAGATAAGGGAAACGTATAAACACTATACTAGGACGTCACTTTAGGGCAAAAAGATCCGTAAGTAGTAAAGTAGCAAAGAAGGACTAAAAACATCATTCGCAAAGAACTAGGTACCGAGTGAGTTGATCAGTATATACTTTATGCTTTCAACTACAAGTATGAAAAAAGCATTTTAAAACAACCCTCCTACGATGGTAAAAACAATATACAGCATATGGGTGTGGAAATAGGTTATTACGATATACTTAGGCTACCCACCTGGTAACAATAAGCCCGTCATTGATGGACTTCGCCAAAACGTGTGTGTCCAGTGTCAATGGCATGCTGGCGAGCTGCCTGTTGCCCCTTTAAAGGACACTGACAGTCCTGGCAGCGTAGACTGAAGCCAGAAAGATCAGTAAAGCGACCAGCTCTGCGTATTGCCTCAGCAAATTGTTGAGCTTCGAGCAAGTACTTAAGGTAGATGGAAGAAATAGAATATAAAAATAGATGGGAAAAAACAATAGCAAAGATAAGTGTTGAATTGGTTATGTACCCAAATATACGATATCCTTAAAATGATCCGACCTGAATTTGATGACTTATACTTAGGGACCTTTCCTTAGACCTAATTAAAAGATATAAGTCTAAAGAATGTGATGTGACAGTTGTATAGACATCGGAAAGCGTACACAGTTAATTGGTTGTATGTATGCTCGTGATGAAGGTGAATTGTTAGAAATAAAGAAGGATCTGTAGCTGCACAACCAAATTCGGCCCTGTTGCAAAGTCGGATTGTATCTGCGACGCAAGTGCAGCTGTGGATATCAACGCAACAAAACGGTCGCTGAATGACTATCTGCGACACAGGCACTGGATGAGTGGGTAATTTTATGCTGCTTGACCGACTTGTATCATTGCAGATGCAGAGGGAAGAAGTGGCCTACGAGAGTGTGGCACACCCAAGAAGAGAAAGGTGGAGATGCGGACGTTTGACATCCAGAAAGAAAGTGCCTGGCTGAGTTGATGTTACGACGCTGACTCGAGGAGAGCCTCCATACCATAGATGAGACGAGCGTCGTGAATTCCTAACCAGAGACAAACCGATGATGGGGAGCAACGGAGCCATGTGATAGCGAAGGCTTGCCGAACTAAGAGAAAGAAAGCTTTGGAGAAGTCTAAAAGTCCGGGGTTCTTTAGTCTAAAAGAACTTGCGTGATTTGGATACTAACTTCTGATTGATTTAAGAGGTCTCGATCTAATAGATTCAAAGGTAGACTCGATAAGTGGAAAGTTTTGAATGCTCGACGGCAACAAGGAATGCGGTTGCATGATATCTACAAATGTCTTTATGTTAAAAAGGTGCTAGGAGAAAACTGCGCATGTAAAAGAATTAGCAGCTACAGTAATAGAATAGGGATCGGTCGCTGCTGCCTAATACACAAGAAGGATATCAAACAAACAATTGGTTAAAAGTTCTAGTCATTCTAATTCGATAAGGTAATGAGAGACTAAAAGTTAA